TTTGTTGATAAGATGACAGCTCCCATCAAACAATCAGAATAAAAATTGACGGACCTGTCAAATCTTATTGTTGTACATAATTGTCACGTGAAATTTAAATCACGCGGAAAGGATATAGTCCTAGATATTTGATATCGCTGGGTCGTGATTTTTTTCTAACAGCTCGAAACAGTCCTTGAACATGCCAACATAGGCGTACGGGCTCGATGACAGTTAGGGGGGCAGGAACCCGAATTGCCCGAAAATATTTCGGGTTTACAGACAGCGGCGCGGTCTTCCGCGAGAGGCGAAGAATCGGAGCTTACCTTGTGTGGATTCCCCCCCCCCCCCACCAGATAATTTTGGAATATCTGAGGGCTGCAAACACGTTTTCCTGCTATTTCAGCCCGTGAACAAAGCAACTTCAAAGTGGTCTAATTTAGGCTAATTAAGATGGCTGGCTCGAATTCCAATCAAAAGATCAATCGTTTACAGTCCACGTAGACGGGACCGTTGGGAGAAAATTTTGAAAATTTAACCACCGCAAATGCGTTTTCTGCTATTTTAGCCCGTGTAAGCAACTCCAAAAGTATCCAATGGTTTTGTAACCGAAATCCCATTCTGAATTCCAACCATCCATTCAGACTGTTGCAGCTGCATTCACAATAATAATCGATGCCTGAAAAATATCGCACACAGTAGAGTGGCCCCAGACAAAATGTTTTAATCCATAGTCAACTCAGTACAAATTCGTGGTATTCAATTAAAATAAAAGTAAAATTAGTGTTTTATTAGGGCACGATGACAGTTAGGGAAGCAAAACTAGAAATGCCCACAAAAATTTTAGGTTTACAGACAGCGGAACTGACCTTGTATGGACACCCCCACCCCACCCCCAAGAAAATTTTGGAAGATTTGACGGCCGCAAAAGCGTTTTACTGCTATTCCAGCCCGTAAAATTAGAGTTTTATTAGATTTCGGGAACTTTATTTGGCCAAGTAGATGAAATAAATTTATTTTTCACTTAACCCGTCTGCCCGAAAAGTCAGCTTGCCCGAAATTTAGGGGGGCAGCTGCCCCCCCTGCCCCCCTGGCTCGTACGCCTATGCATGCCAAGCGCGTTGCCGGGATTTTTTGATGCGTCGTGAGGCTGGATACCCAGAGCGGAGCACGTGTAAATTCGCTGTGTCAGAGGGGGGCTACTGAAAAATCGCGTATAGAAATGGCATTGAATGGGGATTTCTGGCACGCCCCTTGACATGAACGGGCGAACAATAATGAAGACACGCCTTTTTAGGGGGCATTCTATTTTCCTGTTTGTGTTATTCAACTCCCTCTCCCGAGACCCCCTCCCCTATACCCTCAGCCTAATACATATAAATATATATATTTTTTAAATCGATTGGTCGATCACAAAGATGTTAAACCCCATTCTTGTTTTTTTTTTCTTTCAGGGTGAGATAGGTGTATAAGTGTAACGAATCTACAGTTTAAGCTATATATTATATCTATCATTGCCTGCCTTTGATCTAATATTATATAACTATACAATTTTGTCTATACTATTTCAACAATACATTTTACATGTCTACAGGCTAATTTACACACATTGCACTAGATGTCATTTCATCTGGACGGATCCATTGTTTTGTTATAGGGAGGACAAATTAGAATGACCCCCTTTTCACTTTTAATATTGATATTGATAAACAAGTAAAAACAATGTCTTGTTGATTCCAAAATTAACGTTTTGTTTCTAGTTGATTTCTTTTAAAAGGAAATAATTTGTTAATTTCTGACAGGGGCCCGCTTGCCCTTTTGCCCCTTCCAAAATGTCTGTCTTTTGTCAACACTGACGACTGGGGGAGTTGTACGTTCACACAAATCCTGTTGCGCAACCATAGTATGTAATGTTTGCGTTCCCGCCTCCTACCTTATGTACTGTGTAAATTCAAAGCTATTTTTGGGTCTTGTATATTTTGTAGTGCATCGTTAATAATGAAATGTTGACACACCAGATGTATACCCCCACCCAAACACCCTTTTATTTTCTTCACAAATATTATACTTTTTATTACATTATTATTGACTTAAGACAGGGTGGGGCATTTTGAAACTAATAAAGGATTATTTCGGAATAATTGTCATGTATGGTTTTATATAAATTGTGAGAAGGGCAATGATTAAAACACAGACCTTATTTCGTTTCGTTTTTATAGTTTAAAATTTCGTTTTACTTGTCTTCACAACACTGGGATCTGGAAGAGTTGTTATAATAACACGCGTTCTGGTTGGAATAAGGCATTAGCCAATGAAACGGTCTGTTACGGCGAGTTCTTAGCGTGCGATGCACGGAACTGTGGGTAAACCACTAGAAACGTCAACGCTGGTTGATTAATCAATGTCTGACGTCATAGGATCAAAATCCGCTCGTATGACGTCTGACGCGACCTCCCATTACAACCGGCCATATCTTCATGGAGTGTAAGCAAACGAAAGTATAATATAAAAAAAACGAAACGAAATATAGATCTGTATTTTAATCAGAGTGGTTCTCTCCATATATTATCTATTCATAAACCATAATTTATAAAATAGAACATTGGTATGATGCGCTAAAAAGGACTGGCTGAGCATAAGTTTGATGACCTGAAATCGTCCACAAATAGTTTTCTCCTGTCTTGTATTGATGCAGGACGGAGGGCCTGACAAGGACAGCTGTCTAGTCGTTCGGATGGGACGAAAAACCGAGGTCCCGTGTACACATTGGCGTGCACGTAAAAGATCCCTTGGCAGTTGGAATTCGATATAAGAGTAGGCCGTAGTGCCGCTGCCCACTGTATGGCGTAGGCCCGTCTTCATTAGCCCAGTTTAGGAGCAGAACAGTAGGACGTTAAACCCCATTTCATTTCATTTTGTCTTGTATTGTATATCCGAAAGTACGCCCGCACAGCAGCTATAGATGTCTCGAAAAAATAAAATAGCCAAAGGAAATTCGATAGAAAAACTTGATTAGGGTGGCTTCAAGTAATTTGATCCGTATAGTGTTCACAAGCTCTTCCGGGCACGTAATACAACTCTGGTAAAGAAGTCCTAAAATACTGACACCCCCCCCCCCACCCCCGTAACGTTTATTGAAAAAGATTTGAAGTATGTAATTTCCGGGCACGTTATACATCTCTGGAAAAGAAGTCCTAATATGCTGACACCCCACCCCACCCTTAAACATCTCTGTAACGTTTATTGAAAAAGATTTGAAGTGTGTAATTTTATTCTTATCAATAGATATGTAATTTTATACTGAACTGGGCTCATAAAGCGGCTTACAGGCTAATGTCTATACAACCTATATTCATATCACGCCCATCATAGTCTTATTATAAATCAATTGTTTTATTATGTGGAACTATATATATAATATATTTCTGTTAATCCTTTAAATAGGTTTAAAAACAACTTTAAAACAAGTGCCAAGGGCAGTGGTTTCAATTGAGCAGGAAACCACCGCCCTTAAAAAATTCGTCCATATTGCACACACAGGTAGCGAAATCAAAATGCTTATTTAAAAATGTCTTGAAAGAAAAAAAAAATCAATCAATATAAAGTGCGTTTTTGAATCATATTTGAATAAATTTGAAATCAATCTCTTCCATGGCATGTCCGTTTGAAAACCAAATAGGCCTACTAAGATAATGTTTATTATACTATCAGTCATGCAATCCCATGGTAGCCCAATTAATGTACATGTAAATGAATAAGTCTTCCAGGTCGATATAATATCATGTTCATAATATTACGGTTGCCATTTATAGACGATCGAGTGTTACTTATTACCAACATACGATCTATGGTTGATCATGGATGGTCCAGTTGGTCCTGTAGTTGAATGCTATGTAATTCTGTAATAAAGAAATGAAATGAAAATGAAATGAAATGGGGTTTAACGTCCTATACTGTTCTGCTCCGAACTGGGCTAATGAAGACGAGCATACGCCATACAGTGTGCTATGAGGAAAATATGGCGTATGGCGCCTGTCTTCGTTATACCCGGTTGGTGCAGAAGAGTAGTGTGTTAAATCTCATTGCATTTAAGGAAAAGTGAATCTCCATAATAAATACACTGGCAGGTCAGACCAATAAAAGATTGTTTGTGATGTCAGTCATTGTGGAAAATTCCGCCCTCGAGCTCTGGTTTACATTATATTAAGAGAGACCGACGAAATTGGTACAGGATAATGAGATAATCTGTATTTCTAAAGAACCTGGCCAAATTCATTTTTATTTAGAATTATTTTTTTTTTAAAACTCAATAGGCCTAGTTTTGAAATCAGACATCGAATTGAATGTTGCGGAGTGCCTGCGATGCTATTAAATTAGGGCCTACAACCTTTTTAGACTTGTCGACTTTAGGATAGCGCCTTCCAAGGCCGATCCAAATAAGTATTTTTAGAAACCCCTTGACAAAGAGCAGGCTATTTTGAGGATTTTCTTTAACCTCGTTCAAATAAAGCATTGTTAAAAAAAAGTACGTTCCTAGCCTCCATGATCGTAATTAAATAGTAATATTATAGAAGTCCTAATGTGTAGGCTAATGTCACACAAAAATAACAGGTCAGAAAAAGCCGTGCCAAAAAAAAGCTAGCAATTAAATTCCCATTAGAAATAAATTTAAATCACTTTTAGCTATTCGACATTAACCCAATAATTCAAAAGAACAATGCTAAAGCCTGTATTGATTGATGACGGCGAATGAAAGCGATCGTGACCTTCGTTTCACCCCAATGTCGGGAGTTCCCCCATCTACTATTCTATTCTATTATCAACTGCTTTTATTATGTAAATAAGGGGAATCCCGCAAAGCTTAACTCTCTTTTGACTGGCTCTCTAAAAATGGAAACATCGTCTCGATCAGTATTTGCCCATAAATAGTCATATAACCAAGAACACGAGACCAATTTCCTAGAAAACGCTCTCAGTGGGACGCGGTATACTTCCATATAAGGCAAGAGATTAGTCACCTTGCCAGAGTCAAGTACGTTGACTATATTTTACCGACCGGTGCATTGGATAGCAAAATCATTTTGTTTTCTGATGTGCAGCTGAAAGCACACAATATCAGTTAATTTAGTTTAGACATATAAAATCTTACAATGGCTGACGAAGACGTAGCTGCGCTTGTTATTGATAATGGATCTGGTATGTGTAAAGCCGGTTTCGCCGGTGATGATGCTCCAAGGGCTGTTTTCCCCTCCATTGTTGGACGACCAAGACATCAGGTTTGTGCAAATTTGGATGTTTATTTTGTTAATTGAATGTAATTCAAAAATTGCACTAGGCCTATATATGGCTGTCAAGTTTGGATTTCTATTAGTAAGTGCAGGGGGACTGCACCACACAAAATTTACACAAAAACAAATACACGGACAGGACATCATATAGTCTACTCCGGAAAACACAAACAGTAAACCACCGACTGTCTGACTCCGAGCGAAGTCTCACGTCATGATTTTTACCGTTAGGCTATAGCTTTTGTCTTGTGGCTAGTACGGTAGTATTAGTGACAGTCAAGTTGACCCGAGGCCGTACCAGGGTCCAAACCAAGCCGACTACGGCCATTATAATTATATTCTCCAGCTCCCTAGCCAATTTTATTATTTCTTAAATGCACTAGGCCTAGCCCAGCATTATGCAAGCGTTAATGTTGATGAAATAGAATTTACGATTAAGACATCTATTATGACCTAGTCTAATGCACTGTCAATGTCAAATTATTATATCTCCACGCGTGTTCTAGAAAGCGAGAACATCATTAGCATGACACCGGCTATTCAATATTCATAAGCCGGCTCTAGATTTCATTGGTTAGTTAATAATTATGACACATCCCGGGGAAGTCCTCCTGGCACTTCAGAAAAAATGACTCACTTGACAGATTTTGTCGTTCTGAACAGCTTAAACCTTTATGGCTAAAACGTCAATGAAGTTGAACTGAACGAACATTAAACTGGTTTTATTTACGATGGATAATTTGAGCAGTAATAATTGATTATATCGCTATTTTAATGATGACATGGCTTTTAGAATGAGTCGAACAACTTACATTATACAAACAAGCCTTCAACTGAACTTGGTGGTCAACATCAACATGCCATGTATAGCATATTCATTGATCTTTTTTTTTGCCCAGCCCAGCCCAGCCCAGCCCATCCCATCCCATCCCATCCCAATTTGCAACTAAGATTATTAGATAACATTATGGCCTACTTTACAACTAGGTCTACAGTATTAAATATTTTAATATGCATTGAGTTTGACAAGACACTTTGGAAAAAATATGCCCTATTCAGAATGTTGGAAATTTCAAAGTTCAGTGGGATTTTTCGACGTGGTTTCCCCTTGTCAGTGGTGCAGGATGGAGGGCTTGACAAAGACAGCTGTCTAGTTGTTTGGTTGGCATTAAAAACCGAAGTTCCATGTTTACATTGGCATGCATGTAAAAGATCCCTTGGCAGTTGGAATTCGATATAAGAGAAGGCCATTGTGCCACTTCCCGTGCAAAATTTTCCTCATAGTATAGCAGACTGTATTGTGTATGCCCGTCTTCATTGGCTCAGTCGGAGTAGAACCCCTTTTCACTTCCAACTTAATTTAGTTACATAGAATAATTACTTCTACACTTGTATATTTATGAATTGTATCTTGTATTTTTCAGGGTGTCATGGTTGGTATGGGACAGAAAGACAGTTATGTTGGAGATGAAGCCCAATCCAAAAGAGGTATCCTCACCTTGAAATACCCCATTGAACACGGTATCGTCACCAACTGGGATGATATGGAAAAGATCTGGCATCACACTTTCTACAATGAACTTCGAGTTGCTCCAGAAGAACATCCCGTCCTTTTAACTGAAGCTCCCCTCAATCCCAAAGCCAACAGAGAAAAGATGACCCAAATCATGTTTGAAACCTTCAATTCACCAGCTATGTATGTTGCTATCCAAGCTGTATTATCCTTGTACGCTTCTGGTCGTACCACCGGTATTGTACTGGATTCTGGTGATGGTGTCAGCCACACTGTACCCATCTATGAAGGTTATGCCCTTCCCCACGCTATCCAGAGATTGGATTTGGCTGGTAGAGATTTGACCGATTACTTGATGAAAATCTTGACCGAGAGAGGTTACTCATTCACTACCACAGCTGAGAGAGAAATTGTCCGAGATATCAAGGAAAAGTTATGTTATGTTGCTCTTGATTTTGAACAAGAAATGCAAACGGCTGCCACGTCATCATCTTTGGAAAAGAGTTATGAACTTCCTGATGGTCAAGTCATCACTATTGGTAACGAAAGATTCCGATGCCCAGAAGCTATGTTCCAACCATCTTTCTTAGGTATGGAATCTTCTGGTATTCATGAAACAACTTTCAATTCTATAATGAAATGTGATGTTGATATCCGTAAAGACTTGTATGCCAATACTGTATTATCTGGAGGTTCTACCATGTATCCTGGTATTGCCGACAGAATGCAGAAAGAAATCACCTCTTTGGCGCCTAGCACAATGAAGATTAAAATTATTGCCCCACCAGAGAGAAAATATTCCGTATGGATTGGTGGCTCTATTTTGGCTTCTCTCTCGACCTTCCAACAGATGTGGATCTCCAAACAAGAATATGATGAATCCGGCCCCGCAATCGTCCACAGAAAGTGCTTCTAAATTATGGAGATATTACATATTTAGTAATGACACAAACACTACGGACAAAAAGAAAAATTCCTACGGCACAGGAATGGAAAGTTTATGGGTCCTCCCCCAAAGTGACAAGACCCTGTGTTCCACTATTGGTGTGCTGCCCTGCGGACCTGCAAGAGATCTGAAGAGTGTGCGTGCCGTTGATTTTTAAAAACAGTTTTTAAATGAACATTTTCTAATTCAAACAAAGTAATTTCTATTATGTTAATGATTTCCCTTTTCCAATGTTTTCCATTCCATTTTACATTTTTACCTTGTTTCGTGGTCTTTTAAAAAAACATAAAAGTTTTATGTTTAATTGCAACCATGTGTGATTGAAAATTGAACTGTTACATTAATCGACATAATTGACATAAAAAATTTGTACATTTATTGTTAATGGCTTTTCTTGAGTTCTTTTGTCAAGATAAAATCTCAAAAATCAAACTATTTGAAAGTTCTTCAATAGAGCTGCAGATAATTGCTGGGGCTCAGTATTTGTAAATGAATCAGTTACTGTCTCTGATTCAAGCAGGCCTGTTAACGGTGAGGAATGGGGTTTAATGTCCACTCGATCAGAGAACAGAGGTGGCCCTTGGAAGTACAAGGAGAAGGGGGACTAGAGGATAAGGGGCGGATAGTGGGTGGGGGGAGCAGCTCTAAAGAAAACCCAACAAATCTGTGAGCATCAAGTGGAGAGAAAAGGTCTTAAATGTCTGTCGAAAAGTTTCAATTAACAATTTTGAGTGGTTGGAAAGCGCAAAATCTACTTGTTAAGCCAGCTCAAATTTCGTCAAGGTCGCTGAGATGTAAATAAGGTTAGGGCAAGTGATTGGTGGTGAGATTGTAGGTTAGGTACAGGGTTAGGGTTGTGATTAATGCAAGCCCTGTTTACATCCCGTGACCTTTGACCAAACTTGAAGTTGGCCTTGTCAATTAGATCTAACAATTGGAAAGTAAGCTGAAAAATTGTAGAAAAGGAATGAGCAAGGGTCCTTTGACTTATAATTATGTAATTATATATTCACTCTTGATCAGTGATTTGTAGGGGGGGTGGATGGCTGAATGGTTAGCGTGTGCGCTCTGCAACATAAGGTCTGTCATTGAGTCAACTGGCATGGTTTTGATTCTCCAGTTGTACGGGACAAGAAGTAGGGTCGCCTGTTTAACCTTGTGGGTTTTCTCCGGGTCCTCCAGTTTCCTCCGACTGCTAAAGACCCCTATGCACAAGCGAATTATTGAAATAAAATTGAATTATATGTTAGTCCCGAAATGTCCTAGTTTGTGTCGAGTGGACGTTAATCCCCATTTCTCCCTCTCTCTGCATCAGTGATTTGAGTAGCAAGCTCACTAGAAAGAATTTAGAATGTATCGAAGATTAACTTCCAGCTGTCCTGCAACAACCGGTATAATCAAGATTGCCATAATGCAGTAGTGTGCTTGGGAGGGAATTTTGCCCCGTTAGAAGCGACACAGCCTACTGTTTATTTCGAATTCCTAATATCAGAGTTATTTTGCATGCACATATGACCAAATGACTAAGACACTGAAAGACTAATCTTTCATAGAGAGAGAAAGAAATGGGGACCCGGAGAAAACCCACAAGGTTCTAATCTTTCATATTGTCTGATATGCTGTGCTTGTAAGTGGCATTTACTCTTTTAACATTACATAATGTCTCGCGATTCATATTTGTCGTGGGTGTTGTGATGTTAAATAAGAATGGTATAATATTTCATTTGTCAAAAGCCATGATATTTGTGAATGGGTCTGGCGGGATATGGGGGACCGAATGGTTAGCACTTGCGCGCTGTATCACAAGGCCTGTCATTGAGTCAACTGGCATGGTTTCGAATCCCCCGGTTGTACGTGACAAGGAGTAGAGTCGCCTGTCCAACTTTGTGGGTTTTCTCCGGGTCCTCCGGTTTCCTCCCACTGCTAAAGATCCCTATGCACAAGCGAATTATTGAAAAAAAATTAAACCATGTTAGTCCCGAAATGACCTAGCTCTGTCGAGTGGACATTAAACCCCATTTCTCTCTCTCTCTTTGGCGGGATATGAATATACATATTATACTAATGGTAAGATCATATTGACTTGGGAGCTACGGTGGCTAAGTGGGTAAGACGCTGGCTCGCTAGCCTGGAGATTGCGTGTTCGATCCCTGCATTGGCCGAGAAAGTTCATCAGGATTTTCCGACGTGGTTTCCCCTGTTAGTGGTGCAGGATGGAGGGCCTGACAAGGACAGCTGTCTAGTCGTTCGGATGGGATGGAAAACTGTGGGCCCGTGTATACAATGGCGTGCACGTAAAAGATCCCTTGGCAGTTAGAATTCGATCTATGAGTATAACATAGTGCCGCTGTCCGGGCAAAATTTCACTCATAGAACACTGTATGGCGTATGCCCGTCCTCATTAGCCCAGTATAGGAACAGAACAGTAGGAAGTTAAACCCCATTTCATTTCATTTCATATTGGCTTACTATAACGACCACCCCTTAAAAAAAATGAAATCCAAGGTAACCAGTATGAAATAATAGTTCATGACTAAACATGGTTTAATTATATTTCAATAATTTGCTTGCTTGCGCCCAGTTTGAGAAAACTGGTGGGTCCAGAAGAAAACCCACAAGGTTGGACAGGCAACCGTAATCCTTGTCACGTACAAGTGGGGAATTGAAACGCAACTGGACTCAATGACAGACCTTGTGACTTCCCGCGCACATGCTAACCATTTGGCCACCCAAGCCCCCGTTTAAAGTCGTAGCATCCAGGCTAATGAAGATGCGCGTAGTCCCAACGGACAGCGGGGTTTCCCTCTACTCTCCATCTAATTCCAACTGTCAGTGTGTACACTAGACGTCGGGTTTTCACGGCAACCAAATGACTAGACAGCTGTCCTTGTCAGGCCCTCCGTTCTGCGCCACTGACAAGAGGAAACCACTGCGCCACTGACAAGAGGAAACCACGCCGGAAAATCCTGATCAACTTTCAAGAGAGAGAGAGAGAGAGTGTGTGTGTGTGTGTGTGTTTAACGTCCACTGGACACAAACTAGGTCATTTCGGGACTAACATATGGTTCAATTTTATTTCAATCATTCGCTTGCGCATAGGGGTCTTTAGCAGTGGGAGGAAACCGGAGGACCCGGAGAAAACCCGCGAGGTTGGACAGGCGACCCTACTCCATTTCACGTACAACCGAGGAATCGAAACCGCGCCAGTTGACTCAATGACAGACCGTATGATACAGCGCGCGCGTGCTAACCATTCGGCCATCCACCCCCACCCATCTTTCACAGTTTTATATGGGTGTGAACCTGTGACTTTCAGTTAGCAGAGGAAGATCCTGAGAAACAGTCTTGGAAAACACTGGGATTGAAATTGCGGATTTCTTAGTTAGTGAGCAAGCTGGTGTCTTGAAATTCATCTAATTGCAACTGCCAGTGTGTGTGTGAGAGAAAGAGAAATGGGGTTTAACGTCCAATCTACACACACTAGGTCATTTCAGGACTAACACATGGTTCAATTTTATTTCAATAATTCGCAGTGGGAGGAATCTGGAGGACCAGCGCATTCATTGAGTAGGGAGCCATGGTAGCTCAGTGCGTAAGACGGCTCACTAACCTAGAGGTTCTGTATTCGATCCCTGCATTGGCCGAAAAATTTCCCTTAGGTTCCCACTTGTCAGTGGTGCAGGATCAAAGGCCTGACCAGGGACAATGTATAGTTGTTCGGATGGGATAAAAAAAAAATGAGGTCCCGAGCACAAATTGGCATACATCTAAAAGATCCCTTGGCAGTTAGAATTCAATACAAGGGTACGTTGTAGTACCACTGTCCGAGCAAAACTTCCCTGAAAACAAACTGTCATTTACGGGACTAACACGATTCCATTTTATTTCAATTATTCGCTGGAATGTAGGGGCCTCATTAGCAGTGGGAGGAAACCCACTAGACTGGACAAGGGACCCTACCACTTGTCACGTACAAGCGAGGAATCAGGACCACACTACTTTACCCAATGACAGACCTTCTGATCCAAGTCATTCGCATTAACCCTATTTGGCCAACCAATGTTTATGTGTGGGATGCAAGAGAAGTTTTGCATGGACAACAGTGGTCCCACCTCTTAACAATTTGTTTATTTTTTTGATCTTATCTCAAGAGAGAGAGAGAGAGAGAAATGGGGTTTAACGTCCACTCGACACAAACTAGGTCATTTTGGGACTAACATACGGTATATTTTTTTTATTTCAATAATTCGCTTGAGCATAGGGGTCTGTAGCAGTGGGAGGAAACCCACAAGGTTGGACAGGCGACCCTACTCCTTGTCACGTACAACCAGGGATTCGAAACCACGCCAGTTGACTCAATGACAGGCTTTATGATACAGCACGCACGTGCTAACCATTCGGCCATCCAACCCCCCTGATCTTATCCCAAGGACTAGTGCCTATCCCCCTGACTTACTGTGCACTCATTGCATTTTTTGTTTTGTATTTATTTATGGGGAGCCACTGTGGCTGAGTAAGACAATGGCTCGCTAGTCAGGAGGTCGCAGGTTCGTTCCCTGTTGGCCAAGAAAATTCATCAGGTTTTTCTGGCAAGGCTTCCTCTTGTCAGTGGTGCCGGACCTAACAAGGACAGCTGTCTAGGTCATTCGGATGGGACAAAATAAACCCAGAGGTAATATGAGTAGTTCATAACACACTATGTCCATATTCATTAGCCAAGTCAGTGCAGAACAGTAGGATGTTAAACCCATTTCATTTCATGTCTTTTTTGCGCACTTGACCCATCATTTACCACAAAATCAGTCTTTTTTTTATTTGAGAGAAGTGATCACTCTCGATCGCCTGAATGTTGACCGAGGGGAGGTTTTCTCCCACCCCTCAATGGGTGGGGGGGGGCGTGATCATTTATGAACCCAGAAATGACCCCCTTACATGCACTTAATGATCTTCAGAACTATTTCCCCCCATACACACAACTAATCACTCTCCTTCATTTCAAAATCGTTATCGAAACTGGAAGAGAGCAATCTTTTTAATTTATTGGTCAAGGGGAGCTTTTGGCTCTTAAAGTACAATCAACTACTGAGAAACCCTGTTTAACTTCAACTTAACAGATGATGGACCCATTTTGAACTAATCTATAGCTGCTATTATAGTATAGCATAATTTTACCACAAATCAATTATACTGGATGGAGGGTATTTATTACTGGTTTGGCTGGTCCCCTACTGTTGGTGCTTAACAGTAACCCTTTGACTGGCAAAGACAAAAAGCCCTCCATTTACATTACGAATATAGGTGATGATCGACCACCTCAACACACCTGCAAATTCTGTATATCCCACCCCACCCAATCCTGCTAAAAATTTCAAAAGGCTCAGGTTCACAAGTGGGTTTCCATTTACGACAATAAACCCGACCTTTAATACACTCCAAATAAAGAACAAAAAGGCTAACATCTGAGGATTTTTTTGTATTTTTTGTATAAAACTATTGTACAAAAAAGATTAAACATTAACAATAAAAATCAACATTATGTCCGCACAATTATAAATTAATGATTGACAAATGAGATTTCTGTCTTTAAATATGGGGTCGATTGTTTTGTTTTTATGTTATGTTATGTTTGTTTTTTTTTAAAGAATTGGTTTCATTTAGTTCTGAAGATCTTAAATTTTCAGATGGATCGACACAGCTGGATCTCGACCATTGCTTGATTTTTCACCTTTAAACAGTTCAGAGCATCACAATGTTAGTACTCCATATAGTAATACTGACTAATATGTTTAGAAACATTTTCTGTGGACGATTGCGGGACCGGATTCATCATATTCTTGTTTGGAGATCCACATCTGTTGGAAGGTCGAGAGAGAAGCCAAGATGGAACCACCAATCCATACGGAATATTTCCTCTCTGGTGGGGCAATAATTTTTATCTTCATTGTGGCTGGGGCCAAGGCAGTGATTTCTTTCTGCATTCTGTCGGCAATACCAGGATACATGGTAGAACCTCCAGATAATACAGTATTGGCATACAAGTCTTTACGGATATCAACATCGCATTTCATTATAGAATTGTAAGTTGTTTCATGAATACCAGAAGATTCCATACCTAAGAAAGATGGTTGGAAAACAGCTTCTGGGCATCGGAATCTTTCGTTACCAATAGTGATGACTTGACCATCAGGAAGTTCATAACTCTTTTCCAAAGATGATGACGAGGCAGCCGTTGCCATTTCTTGTTCGAAATCAAGAGCAGCATAACATAATTTTTCCTTGATATCTCGAACAATTTCTCTCTCAGCTGTGGTAGTGAATGAGTAACCTCTCTCGGTCAAGACTTTCATCAAGTAATCGGTCAAATCTCTACCAGCCAAATCCAATCTCATGATGGCGTGGGGAAGGGCATAACCTTCATAGATGGGGACGGTGTGGGTGACACCATCACCAGAATCCAGTACAATACCGGTGGTACGACCAGAAGCATACAAGGATAATACAGCTTGGATAGCAACATACATAGCTGGTGAATTGAAGGTTTCAAACATGATTTGGGTCATCTTTTCTCTGTTGGCTTTGGGGTTGAGGGGAGCTTCAGTTAAAAGGACGGGATGTTCTTCTGGAGCAACTCGAAGTTCATTGTAGAAAGTGTGATGCCAGATCTTTTCCATATCATCCCAGTTGGTGACGATACCGTGTTCAATGGGGTATTTCAAGGTGAGGATACCTCTTTTGGATTGGGCTTCATCTCCAACATAACTGTCTTTCTGTCCCATACCAACCATGACACCCTGAAAAATACAAGATACAATTCATAAATATACAAATTTAGAAATAAGTATTTTATTCAACCTGGAATTCGAAACGTTCTCATCATTTTGGCAAAAAGAAAATTTGAGAAATGGGATGGCCAAGAATCCTAACTCTCCCGTGTTAGGTTGGAGCAATTCATTGTGTGGGCTAATGAAAAGCGAGAATTCATTACCAAGGAAACTTGTCGGCATTTAGGTTTGATGCGACTCCCATTTTTGTGATATAGGTTTTAATCTTAAATACCTGACCCTAATCCTAACCATAATAGAAAGTAGCAAGTTCCATGTTGACACAGTGCGGACGGCTAACAGCTAGATTTTCGGTGTAATAGTGATGGAAATAGAAAAGGGAGTAGGATCAAACATGACCGCCAACTTGTCCAGGCATTAATAAGTCATTCTTTTATTGAAGTTTTTGCCAGGTAAAAACCTAACACAGGCGGTGTTTCAGTCCGAATATTCATACGATTTAGTCAGTAATCCATTGCGAGGCACAGCTTTCTTGAGACACCCACGTGCTATAATTCTATTCAATCATGCGAAGCGGGTACTAAACCGTCAAATCGATTTTTTCGCACGCGCTGCCCGATGTCTGACGATCATACAATCGAACGATAAAATGAAGTTTCTAGTTATGATTCACCACCAAGGCAGCCTATGATAAGGCGAGGCTTGCAATATTAAAAGCGTATACATCTAATTATCAAAACTTAAATGAAATAAAACTCTATTCATAATTTAATAAATGTAAAGAGATTGGTTAGATCAAGCAGCCATTTCTGTGGCGTTTTGAGTTCGGGTGTTTCTTCGTGTTTTTGGGGGTTTTTTTTGTTAACCCATTCCACAGAACAAAATGAGAACATAAAATGAGAAAACGCCCAACCCTAATCTATGCCAATATTGTTTAAATATCGGTTGAAAAAAAGTCCGCCGCTGCATGGCTACGAGACAATTCAGCTGAATATATAATACAGATTGTTAAAATACAGTGATATAAACGTCAATGCGAAATTGAAATTGCTGAAATATAGCAACAATGTTTATCCAAATTTGAATTTGTTAAGACGTGGCGCTCAAATAAAATTTCAATTTTCACATACCTGATGTCTTGGTCGTCCAACAATTGATGGGAAAACAGCTCTTGGGGCATCATCACCGGCGAAACCGGCTTTGCACATACCAGATCCATTATCAATAACGAGTGCTGCTACGTCTTCATCCATGGTGAAATATTTTGTATTATAATAGTTATATGGATACTAACAAACTGAGCTCTTTCCACAAGCCCTGCTGTTTCTAGAATGTTGAACCGGTCAGCTCGCTCATTGTATTTATATGCGCTCAGTGTTTAACCCGCGTGGGGTTACTGTTTTAATACCATATAAGGACATACTACACTGCTTTCCAAGAAATCGCATCGCTTGAGTGATTCTTGACTGATATATTCATAGACCAGCCTCTCATACCTGTCATACTGGTCGACTCATATGGGACGATGGGCGTTGGCTCTCCTTATAAGGCAGTTATACACACCCCCTTTTAAAGGCGTGTCTAATGCTTCAACCTCTCTCAATTGCCTATTATTCAAGATAGGGCCTACAGCTACAGTATGAGTAAATCTTATTAATAATCTTTTCAAATTTTCACCTTAATAGCAAATTTATCGATACAAAAACATACAAGAAAATCGTGAAACATTTTTAAAGCCTCCTTTGTTTTTTGTCAACTGCCGGCGACTCACAAATATTTGACCTCATTATTTTAAGACTAGTAGTAGTGAGTAGTACATTATATTTAGAAGCCTAACAATTCAAGTAACTCACAGGCCATTTTAAAAATGCGTGACGTTTGTTTTTTTGCATTAAATATAAGATGAACAGATAAATACTGAACGTAGATTATCGTATCCGTATTAGGTGGGATATAGCTGTGATCAATATGAATAGACTTGAGTTGATACTGATAGACAGCAAGCAAGTCATTGACATAATGTTTATATATAGACAGACATCCCCGTGGTGTACATAGGATAATAGCCTACGTATATTACATAGAATATTGGTATTATGTCTAATGCATTCCTCGTGTTAATTACCGCATTATGATAGATAACCAGCTGATTTGCAACACAGTGTCGAATATTCCCATATTAATTTCTCTTTCGTTTCGTTTATTATTCTGAATTTTACGGCTGAGTATAAAAAAAGAAAAAATAGAAGGAAACGAAATTGACATGTGATAGGAATAAGTTTGAACATGTACGTTTAGTCTGTGAGACTGCAAAACTACTTCAGCTGATCTTTATCGTGCACAGTATTTCAAAATGTGGATCTTTATCGTGCACAGTATTTCAAAATGTGGATCTTTATCGTGCACAGTATTTCAAAACGTGGATCTTTATCGTGCACAGTATTTCAAAATGTGGATCTTTATTGTGACACCTGAACGACTATATACGCATATACTTCTCGATATGGACGTTTTTGAGAGTAGACTAGCGTTGACAACAATGTCTAACAATAGCAGTCAAAAATAGAAACTGAACAAACAAATAAGTGGTAATTTGACTGAATAAATACTACAAATTTGTACTGAAGCAAACAAACGATCATTTCCCCTAAAATAGACGAAAAACTGAGGCCCGAACATGTGCACGTAAATGAATCCTTGAGAGAGACATGGGGTTTAACGTCCACTCGACACAAACTAGGGTCATTTCGGGACTATCATATGGTTTAATTTTTATTTCAAGAATTCGCTTGCGCGTAGGGGTCTTTAGCAGTGGGAGGAAACCGGAGGACCCGGGAAAACCCACGAGGTTGGACAGGCGACCCTACTCCTTGCCACGTACAACTGGGGATTCGAAACCACGCCAGTTGACTCAATGACAGACTTTATGATACAGCGCGCGCACGCTAACCATTCAGCCATCCAACCCCCCATGAACCCTTGAGGGCCTTGATAATGACAGTTAGTCTATAATTCGACGACGAATTCGTCGACGGACTGAGTGAAGACTTCAATTCCTCTAAAATAGATAGATGAAAAAAAAAGCAAAAAACCTGAGGTCCACGAATTTGCACGTTAAATGAACCCTCGGCAGTTGCAATTCGAAGGAGAATGGAGGGAATCGGAGCTGTACAGCTATCCCCTGCAACCCCCTCCTCGCATTGCACTGATAACTATAGAAATGGAACTGATATGTTATTCTCCAAAATGGCAGAACGTTACTGTAATCCTCATTTCAATACGTGGGGGTTAGATGGCCGAATGGTTAGCACGTGCGCGATGTACCATAAGGTCTGTCATTGAGTCAACTGCCGTGGTTTCGATTCCCCCGGTTGTACGTGACAAGGAGTAGCGTCGTCTGTCCAACCTCGTGGGTTTTCTCCGGGTACCCCGGTTTCTTCCCACTGCTAAACACCCCTACGCGCAAGCGAATTATTAACATAAAATTGAACCATATGTTAGTCCCGAAATGACCTAGTTTGTGTCGAGTCTACGTTAAACCCCATTTCTCTCTCTCCCCAGTTCAATACCCTGGAATAGACATGCGTCATTTAAAAAGCCTCTGTGCAATGAATCGAAAATTAGATAAGTTTTATAATGGCGACGCTTGTAGTGTACGGTGTGCGTTATGCTTACTCTTTCAATTCACATTTAATTTTCACAGCTTCATATCGCTAACAAATTATATGATGTACTTTTGTACAGAATGCATGGGGGGCAATCAATTGAATGAACATAGATGACGAAATAATGATGTGAAGAGTCCAATGATTTATTGTAACAAGGCACATTGTGAATGGCCGTCTTCATTAGCCTCTTGATGCAGAACAGTAGGACGTTAAACGATTAGTGCTAAATGTTAAGGCCAGCTCAATTTTTCGTCATAGGTCACGAGATGTAAACAGGGCTAGCACTAATCCCGACCTTAACCCTAACATGGACCTTGCCCTAATGCTTACCCTAACCCTAACCTACAATCTCGCCAACAATCACTACCATAACCATTATTTACATCTCAGCGAACTTGACAAAAATTGAACTGGCCTTAACAAATAGATTTATCCGACGTTAAGCCCCATTTCATTTACGAACACGGTTGGAAGTGTAGCGTCGCTGTCCGGGTAAAATTTCTCTCATGGCACACTGCCCATTAGCCCCTTGAGACAGACCAATAGGACGTTATAAAAACCCCATTTCATGTATACAAATACGGTTGACAGTATCTAGCGCCGCTATCCGGGTAAAATTTCCCTCATAGCATACTGTCTATGGCCGTCTTCATTAGCCGGGATGGTGCAGAAAAGTAGGTGTTCAACCCCGTTTTATTTCATTTCCGAACACTGTATAACAGTTATTTTCAAATATTTAACTGTATGTTTTAAAGCTAGGCCATGTGTTAGTAGTTAGCCTATCTATAGGCTAGAGCCAAATATGGCTAGGCTGGTGTGTACCACACAAACAAGTGTTTTATCGTACAATAAAAGTAAGTTGAGAGTGTTTATATATGGTCATAGACATAGACCACAGGTTGTTATATATATATATATATATATAGAATTTAAAATACCTATTATTTCACGAATGTTTAACGCCAAATAAGTGTCATTTGTAGGACTAGCTTGGGATTACGATGGCTAAGCGGGTAGGACGCTGGCTCGCTAGCCCGGAGGTCGGGTGTTCGCGATCCCTCCTGCATTGCCTGAGAAGGTTCATCCAGATTTTCCGGTGTGGTTCTACCTTGTCAGTGATGCAGGGCGGAGGGCCTGACAAGGACAGCTGTCTAGTCGTTCGGATGGGACGAAAAACCGAGGTCCCGTGTACTCATTGGTGTGCACGTAAAAGGTCCCTTGACAGTTGGAATTCGAGGCCGTATTATAGCACACTGTACGTTGTATGCCCGTCTTCATTAACCCAGTTCGGAGCAAAACAGTAGGACGTTAAACCCCATTTCATTTCATTTCGTAGGACTAGCTGGTTGTATCGAGTCATTTCGCGGTATCCACTTTCGATCATAAACAACAATGCGGATTACTAAATGTGTTTTGGTTTCTGTTACGTAACGTCTGTTTTTTTTCTGATCTGGGGCCTGTTTCACGAAATTTTAACTAAGATAAAATGCAAATTTTAGTAATTTGACTAGATAATATTAGATTGATTTTAGTGCTTAACCATTCAAAATTGAAGTATCTACTAAAATTGGATTTTATCTTTAGTTAAGATTTCGAGAAACAGGGCCCAGGAAATGTGATTTATTGAATGAAAATAAACTGTTACTCACACCCACTATGTGATAATTGTTGAAATAATTAGATTGTTTTATTTGGTAAAACCAAAAGAATGTTAAGAATGAACACACACATATATATAAAATACATTACTTTTGAACATGCCGATGGCCCGACACCACAAATTATCATTTCTAGAAATATTTTTAATCTCAATTTCAACAAATACATTGCAATTAGATAGATGTCTGTATGCATTTCATTTGGGGTGATTTTTGTTAAAGATGCATTATGTAAGATTTAGTTAAAGAGCTCACCGTTCTTGATATAGACAATACAAAATGAATAAATTATATTGAAAATTTCATTCAAATTACTTTATTCTTAGCGAAATCATCACTGTTTGAAGTTTTGACAAGATGTGGAATAGGTTGTTTATTATTGTAACACCAGTACATGTACTTGTTATTCGAGACGTAGCCTCGATTCGCCATTTTAAAATTGAATTATTAAATGGCCAAACCGTGTGTTAGTTCGTTTAAATCTCCACCATCCGATGGTCTAGAGAGTTGATTATAGGTTTGTCATGTGAATAAATGTCTAAATAAAAATTTATATAACATTTAAAGCCAAAGGAAAGATCTGCGATAGCCCAAAAAATGGAGACAAATGGCGTTTAACGTCCACTCGACACAAACTAGGTAATTTCGGGACTAACATATGGTTCAATTTTATTTCAATAATTCGCTTGCGCATAGGGGTCTTTAGCAGCGGGAGGAAACCGGAGGACCCGGAGAAAACCCACGAGGTTAGACAGGCGACCCTACTCCATGTCACCCCTGGGATAGGCAGATGTGGATCTTACATAATGCGTCTTTAAACTCACTCATCTAGGAAGGGCTCAAACTACATCATGTGACTGCTTGATTTTTTGTTATATAAAAGCATTATATTACAGCCCACACAGTGTATAAACCAACAGGAAGGACCCTTAATACAACAACACTTTACCTTTATAAGAGTTTACATAATACTATATAGTCATGCATATAACAATCCCATAGGGAATGGCCTTAATACAGTATT